CTTCTTCCGTATATTATGAGGGGGGATAGGGTGGGGTTGTTTGATGGCCTCATTATCAATCATTTAGCCCAGTGTCCCCATGCCAGTGATGCAGGCAGTGGACGAAATATATTCCCTGACAGATGAGAATTCCAAAAAGAAAGCGAATTGCCATCGATTGCGGAAAATTACCCTCGTAAACAATACTTTGCGTTGTCTTTTTTTTCAACAAATCGACCAGGTACAAGAAAGGAAGAACGCAATAGGCCTTACGACCTCAAACGACCGACAGTTAAACCATGAAAGCTCTAGTTCCACGGAAAGTTCCGAAAGTTACCGAATGCCATTACCTAATCGGAAAGCTACATATTTGTCGCATTTTCAAACCCCTTCAAAGTGCAACTAAACTCAATGTTCAGAGCAAGCTTATATGAAAATTAATGAGTACCGTAATCCACAGAGAAAAATCAAAGAAAATATCTTAAGCTGTATCATAATCAGATTGAATACAATTCCGACAATTGAGACTTTGAATACATTGTACATAAGTTTACGACGGAAATTACATTTTCTGATAAAAGTGGAATGACTTCGTGACTTTTGAAATAAAGATATTCTTTCACTATAAAATATCATTGTAGTTTCGTTTAAAATGTCTTTCATGAAGCATTTAGATTATTTCGTTTCATTGTTTTATACACATTACATAATTTGAATTCCGAACAATTAAAATAATGGAATGAAAAACCGAAACGAAGCCCAAACATTCACATCTTGGTGGTCTCTGTAGTGACTCGTTTCCGAAACTGACAAAATTTCATGAAAGGTTACGAGAGGAATAGCAAAAAACAGAAGTCCGTGACGTTTGAGGGGAGGGCCGGGCAAAAGGCACCCCTAGAAACAACCCACATACATATGCCACCTCCCTTTTTATGTCCCCTCTCCTTTTTATTCCTGCAGAATGAGCATATAAGATATCGATTCACTATTAAATTCAGAAATACGCAATGCATATATCTAATACCTGTTTACATATTATGTTTTTTAGTTTAAGATTAAATTAAAACAAAAGTAGAGGAGACCTAATTTAATTTATTCAAGATAAATAGTTTAGAATTTCTAAATAAGGAATAAATAATCTCAATTTTAACATGTTCGTCCATAAATAGACATCCTAAGGAAATAAACAGATATAATATTTTTTTTTTTTTAATAAGTTGAGTTCAATTTTAGCTATCCGTAATACTTTTCAAAGTAAAAATAGGACGTCCAATTCGACTACAATATAATTATACACTGTCGGAAATGAGGACAGGATAAGTTTTTATGCCACGGGTTTTCAACCTTTTTCTTACCATAAGCCACGCCCGCCACCCTCCCCTCACTTCCCTATAAATCCTTAAGATTTTGTGATTTTTTTCTCAGATTTACCTGCAATCTTTTTCAAGTCTGAAAAAAAAACCTTAAAATAACAGGTTGAAATCCTCTGTTTTTGCCATCAAATTCTCCCATACGTTGTCACAGCTATTAATGCAAATGATTACGTGGCTTCGCTACAAGACACCCCGCCCCCCCCAATCCCCACACCCACTGCCCCACCCTCCTGCCCCGCAAGACAGTCAGATAACTCGTTACCATTGAAAACATATTTTATTTCTGTTAAATGTATTTGCCGAGAACTGCCCAATATTAAACTGTTAGAGACGGAATCACCTCCTCCTCTCTGTGTTCTCTCAGTTCTCAAGAATCCTTTTAAACTACTCGAACTATTTCGAGACACACGCCAAGTTTTCTAGTGTTGACAATACTTTAGAACGTATTACACTCTAGAAAGATCAGAAATAGTTTTTACACGACATCGATTTCAACAGTTAAAGGGATTGTAAAGAGATTTTCTTTATTTTTTATGTGTATCGGTGACATTTGAATTAATTAAATGTGAGAAAAGCGGAAACACATTTAAAGGTATACTCCCTCTTAGGATGACAAAAAAAAATGAAATTTTTAAACTTGGATAAAAAGAGCCTTTGTTCATCAGTGGACTTGCCTGATGTCATAAATATACAACAGAATCCTTCTATAATCTAATAAATCATAAAACTAAGTAATGATTAATTAAACTAAGTAATTTTGAAACAAGCTTAGAAGCGTTTCTCAATTATTATTTAGTTTAATGGATATATCGTGTTATATAGAGATTCTATTCCTTAGTCATGGCACCTGGTAAGTCCAACTGATGAATATATACTCTTATATTGACCAAGTTTGAGACTTTAAATTTTATGTCCATTCTTAGAGGTACTATATATACCTTTAAAGTATGATATCGTAAATGTCTCTGACATCTATACAGTTCCAAAAAAAAAAAAGAAAGAATCACTTGAAATATAAGAGTCAATTCAGTTTCTACATCAACTTTGTCAACTTCACGTTTCCACGAGTTTTAAATAATAAATGAAAGGAGAAATTCCGATAAAAAATATCCCTGTCAATGTCGATGAAGTCTGTATTCGACATTATGAAGGATCATTGAAATATAGAATACTTAAGAAGTATTATCTGCGACATTAAGTATATATGATGACATCTTCACAATGTCAAGCTATTACGATCTTTGTACTTATGCCTTGACTGCAATAGACACATGTCTTGCATCTTCACAATGTCAAGCTATTACGATCTTTGTACTTAAAACCTTGACTGCAATAGACACATGTCTTGCATCTTCACAATGTCAAGCTATTACGATCTTTGTACTTAAAACCTTGATTGCAATAGACACATGTCTTGCATCTTCACAATGTCAAGCTATTACGATCTTTGTACTTAAAACCTTGATTGCAATAGACACATGTCTTGCATCTTCACAATGTCAAGCTATTACGATCTTTGTACTTAAAACCTTGATTGCAATAGACACATGTCTTGCATCTTCACAATGTCAAGCTATTACGATCTTTGTACTTATGCCTTGACTGCAATAGACACATGTCTTGCATCTTCACAATGTCAAGCTATTACGATCTTTGTACTTAAAACCTTGACTGCAATAGACACACGTCTTGCATCTTCACAATGTCAAGCTATTACGATCTTTGTACTTATGCCTTGACTGCAATAGACACATGTCTTGCATCTTCACAATGTCAAGCTATTACGATCTTTGTACTTAAAACCTTGACTGCAATAGACACATGTCTTGCATCTTCACAATGTCAAGCTATTACGATCTTTGTACTTAAAACCTTGATTGCAATAGACACATGTCTTGCATCTTCACAATGTCAAGCTATTACGATCTTTGTACTTAAAACCTTGACTGCAATAGACACATGTCTTGCATCTTCACAATGTCAAGCTATTACGATCTTTGTACTTAAAACCTTGACTGCAATAGACACATGTCTTGCATCTTCACAATGTCAAGCTATTACGATCTTTGTACTTAAAACCTTGATTGCAATAGACACATGTCTTGCATCTTCACAATGTCAAGCTATTACGATCTTTGTACTTAAAACCTTGACTGCAATAGACACATGTCTTGCATCTTCACAATGTCAAGCTATTACGATCTTTGTACCTATACATTGACTCCAATAGACACATGTCTTGCATCTTCACAATGTCAAGCTATTACGATCTTTGTACTTAAAACCTTGACTGCAATAGACACATGTCTTGCATCTTCACAATGTCAAGCTATTACGATCTTTGTACTTATGCCTTGACTGCAATAGACACATGTCTTGCATCTTCACAATGTCAAGCTATTACGATCTTTGTACTTAAAACCTTGACTGCAATAGACACATGTCTTGCATCTTCACAATGTCAAGCTATTACGATCTTTGTACTTATGCCTTGACTGCAATAGACACATGTCTTGCATCTTCACAATGTCAAGCTATTACGATCTTTGTACTTAAAACCTTGATTGCAATAGACACATGTCTTGCATCTTCACAATGTCAAGCTATTGCGATCTTTGTACCTATTCATTGACTCCAATAGACACATGTCTTGCATCTTCACAATGTCAAGCTATTACGATCTTTGTACTTAAAACCTTGATTGCAATAGACACATGTCTTGCATCTTCACAATGTCAAGCTATTACGATCTTTGTACCTATTCATTGACTCCAATAGACACATGTCTTGCATCTTCACAATGTCAAGCTATTACGATCTTTGTACTTAAAACCTTGACTGCAATAGACACATGTCTTGCATCTTCACAATGTCAAGCTATTACGATATCTGTACTTAAAACCTTGACTGCAATAGTCACATGTCTTGCATCTTCACAATGTCAAGCTATTGCGATCTTTGTACCTATTCATTGACTGCAATAGACACATGTCTTGCATCTTCACAATGTCAAGCTATTACGATCTTTGTACCTATACATTGACTCCAATAGACACAAACGGATAGCGAACATGTTCCTTTGAACAATAGGATCAATTACATACAGTAAATAAATCTTACATAAATAAAATGAGATGGTGTGAGATGAATTCATTTCTCAAATCTGTCAGATTTATGTTGCACGTTTTTCATCCCCGCTCAATTCAGAAAGTGATTTTGCTACATTACCGGAAGTATTATTGTTACCGGAAGTGAATATCATTTGATGTTTTTATAACCTAATCGTTAACAGTACAATATTTTAAGATATCTTATGTTTGCATTGTTTAAATAACAAGAAAACTTTTGCATTGAACAAAGGGGTGGATAAAAAATTTGCTTTGAAATGAATTGAAATGAACTAAACTTACTGGTAATTTTACATCCTGCTTCGGTACATTTTCATTGATCTGAGACAAGCAACAACACGCAGTGTACTATGAGGAAAAATTCTCCCAGGATAGTGGCATTAGAGTACGTTATTTAAGATTGTGTAATACTGTTGTTCAAATGATCAAGGTGGAAAGTCTCAGTATACCGTAGCAGTTATGTCCCTTTAACTAGCAATGCTATTATATTAATTCCTTCTTTTATTTCTCGTTTCAGATAGCTTGTAAAATAACTGGTTGCCTTTTTACAACTTTCGCCATTGGATCGATTTTATCAACAGCAGTTGTCGCCCTTGATCGATTCTTCGCTATCATATACTGCCTGAAATATTCCACTTGGAACACCTCATTATACGGAGGTGGGGCTCTATTTGTTTTGTGGATTACTGCGGGTGTCTTCGGTTTGACGCCTTTAATCGGATGGAGTGATATTCGCTTCGACGTCAATCGATTTATGTGTCTGATCACGTGGTATGACTCTCTGAGCTACGCCATTTTGAATTGTATTCTTTGTTTTTTCGCGCCATTAATGATAATGATCGTCTGCTACGTGAAAATTATTATAGTAGCTCATGAACACGTACGACAAATTCAGGATACGAATAATTACATCATGAGAAACAGCCCAGAATCCAGTCACATTAGTTTAAACGGAGCAGTAGCCGCAGCGGCCATGTTTTCCGTCCGTCGTTTATCTATGTTGAGTTTTCCGGGAAGTAAGGAGAGTAATCCGATTGAAGTGGATTATAATAGCGGGACTTCCATGACAACGCATACATCTTCTGTTCAACGTGATGCAAAAACAATTGTGCGTCTAGTTGGTTTGATTGTTGTCTTTGCATTGTGTTGGACGCCATATTTGTACGTGAACATTGCGGAAATGATCAATCTCGGCATTCCAAGTGGCGTGTTAACAGCGTCGACGTGGCTTATATTAGTGAATAGCTGCATAAATCCATTTAGCTACGCAATATCTTCCAAACGATTTCGCTTTGCCGCCAGAAAACTTCTAAGTCATCAATATAGACGGAAGTGTAGCCTCGAATATCAAACAACACACCATAGGTCTTCTTATTCAGTTTATCTCAAAACATTGAGGTCACCCTCCGTGTCAAGTGACCCCGGAGACAATCGTAAAATCATGCGTATGTGTTCTTTAGATAAAGCCATTCGCAACGTAACAGAGCTACGACCTTCATCGCAATCGACACCTAATATAAAACTAGTGCGAATGTCGCATCAGTATTTGCAAGTGCCGCAAAATTTTAACATTTCTTCCGGAGCGAACACCCAAATGCCTGAACCATTCAGACCATATAAAGAACCGGATGTTGTTCCATTGAAAGCCCGGAAGTACTTGTATAATAATCCGCGGCGATTTACTAGCCCTGATGCCATTGGTCAGACGAAGGAGCTATTGGAAGAGTATGTTTTTAGTGAAAATAACAAAGCGAAGATTAAAATTAAGTTTGATTTGGTACCTGATTGATTCAAGTATCGATCTTTTATATCAAGTCTTCGAAGTTTCTGTGATTTTGACGTGGGAAAGCCGATTTGCAACGCAGTCTGGCGATTTTCGACGTTTTGCGCTTGAGTTGAACCTATTAGTGCTATGAAACTGTTGCAAGCTATATACGTGTGAACACCGCATAAAGCAAAACTATTGACGTATTATATTGAGGAATTGGGAGATATACATGTATATCAAATATTAGCTCGCACTCTCAAAGATGCCGGGTGCTCCGTAGTGGTGATCATGGCTGCCTAAATAACTACACCCAACAGAGTGCTTTTTTGAGTAGAGCTTAAATTTGATAGTCTTTTGACCTGAACTCAAGAGCTTTAATCTGAAGAATGAGCTTGTCTGTCGTCTTGTCGCAGCTACGAGCATCAGAAGCACTATAGGCGAATACAAGTACATATATCCTGTTCTTGTATATACCCGTAACCCTTATCAAATATGTTAATACACCAAAGACAAAGGACGTTCTTATTCCCCATTCCCAGATCCCATATTACTGTGATCCTTGTTTATACAATTTTAATAATCATATTGATTTCATCTAACCTTTTGTGATTATTGTAAATTATTATGATTTTTATAATAAAATGTATTTCATTCTTCTCCCGTCTTGTAGTCTAAAACTTGTTCTTCTACTGAGTTTGAAATCGAAACAAATACATATACAAATTACACCAGAATATCATCTGAAACGTAAGACGGGGAGGAGGGGAAGGGGTGTCGGTAAGGGGCAACAGAATTGTCAAATGGGGCCTCATGGGCAATTCTTATCCTATGCGACATTATACTTTATTTTATTTTACGGAGAAAGAGGTGAGGCAGTATCAGTATCAACTGTATGTGGACTCGACTAATGAGGACAGATAACTTATCCATGGTCACAAGTTGACCACAAGCGAATAACCTTATATACCCTGTTGTTGGAGGTGGGATTGCTTGATATCTGTGACTATGGAATTTATGAACTTCCATACTAGATTGGCCCCGTAATTCAACCCTCTTTTACCTGAACACAGCTTCATTAATTCTGGCCATTGTTTTAATTTGGCCTAGTTTAAAATATCAAGTTATATAAGACATAAAAATATACAGTACGTCACGAGACATATTAGTCCGAAACTTCCCTCTGTAGTCAGCAACACACATCAGCCCTGTTTACGCGGTATGTGTGTGCGGTGCGGGGTATAAGTAGTGTTGGCGCCTGTGGGGATATAGGTACCCTTACTTCATTTCTAACAAATTCAAAAATATGGTTTTTATACTTGTCAGAAGGACAAATGCTCATTTGAAGGCTTGAGTCTATGCGCTCCACATTTCTAATCTCAACCTCGGTAGATGTCCCCCAATTAAGCCAGTCTGTCTCCTATTTGCACAGCAAAGCAAGTCTCGGGAGGCTGGTGCCGCCAGGTGATAAAGGGTACGATTATACATACATATCTTACACCGTTCAGGTATTTTCGGACTAGGTGCGAATTTATCAAACAAATTTGTAAACTTGACGTTTTACTACTATAAAGAATTATCAGGTTTTTTTAAGAACTTGAACATATAGCCTACATCTTATATGTCTTGCACTTTAAAACATCACCTCGTGTTCTCAAAGGTTTAAGATGCGAAATTTGCTGACTCGTGTTAAAAAAAAATTAAACCATGGACTTAATGCATAATCTATCTCTACTTAAAATAGATGTTCATCAACATAGAAGTATTCTATTTCATCTTAACAGAAATGTAATGAATTTGAGTTAACCTCCAACTTTTCGCATATGGTAGGGGCTTACAAGACGTTGCAGTCCGTTATCCGTAAGGGGACGTTAACGTACACAAGTTGAAGATTACAAGCCTGTGTAGTGCATATCCGACATCCGACGTCGACCGCTTCGACGTGGAACACTGAACCAATTTACTTAAAAGCAGATTACGTGTGGCATCCCAACAAAACACCAGAAGAAAATGAACGAACTCTGTCCAACTACCGGAGAGACCGAATTTATGTAGAGTTCGCCTCTTTAAATAAAGTTGAAATATGATAAATTTAATGTAAATGCATACATGAAAGGTTGTTCGCCCTGCTGCATATTTTAAATTTTAAACTTAGTAGACACTTTATTCCCGAGACGACATTTTCAGCAGAGGATCGTTGGTTGAGGACGTATTGTGATACGGTAGGTACACGTTGTATAGTAAAGTTGTAAAGCCATAGTATTCTTCTGTACAGGTGCAGACTGAGGGGCCGGATCACATGACGTGGTCCTTAGGACTAGATAGGGGGTCGATAGGTCTTACGAAAAATTCTCTGTTCAAATACACTGAAACCACTATCCACAATTTGTCCACAGGATTTGTGCGCTTCCTTGTTCCATGCTATACATATACAAACTGTTCCCATTTCTTAAATTGAGACTTGTAACGTATAGGCCTACAACTCTATAACAAACGTGGTTTATTGTCTGCCCACAGACCCATACCGCTAAGCCTACCCCCCCCCCCCCCCCCC